TACTTCGATAAGGCTATGCGTCATGATAATCGCCTTATCGTTGCCGCCGCTGACTACTCCCCGAATCCTGATCACGCAGGAGCAAGTCACCGTCGTCGCCCTAGACACGTCCTTACGGATCCATCAGATCCAATAACTCTTGCATTACATACCTTCAGCTCTAACACTAGGAGCAGGCTGAGGAACCCCGGTAACCGTACTCGTCGAACTCGACAAAGAGGTCGACGTGCAGCCTAACCCATGCATCAGCCCGCTGAGTTTCTCGCCGGATCTTCTCAGTGGGTCGCGATTCCGATCCGGTAGTAGATTCATTCGCGAAGCAACTGCTCTTGAGTTGTTAGGTCTCCTTCGGAGGCGCTCGGGCAGTTGTTAGCAAATCCCACCCCTCCTGGCTGAGCCTTTGCTCGCCCACCTGTCCTGGTGAAGCTGGAAAGGCCTCCGGGCCACCAGTAATCTCTCAATCATAAAAAAAAAAAAAAAACTACAACGTAAATACGCCACCCAACTTGAGATATAAGTTCTAAGGTAAGTATAGTTACAACGGCTGGCCAACCCTTCAAGCCGAAACGCATTACTGCTTCACGGCAGAAATAGGCAGGGCGGTGGTACCTACCCGTGCGGACTCACAAGAGGTCCTACCACCAGTAATTATTAAAATTATAATTTTGCGTTATTACACGATGTTATTCCTTCACCGTGGAAGTCAATCGTGAACATTTGTTAAGGACAACGGATTTCATTAGGAAAATTGGTACCCGCCTGCAGGATTCGAACACCGGTGCATCGCTTCAACACGAATGCACCGGACGGCTTATCCTTTAGGCCACTACGACTTCAAAACTTATTATCTCATTTTGTAATTGACTGAATACATTCATGATTCCATAGTGATAGAATGATGTTACTTACTTGTCGTGAAAATGCTTGTTGCTGGTCGCGTAAGAGTCGAAGATGTAATTCAACATGGGAGAGTCAGACTTTCCTGGCTTCTGGCGTCTGGGCTTGTCTGTGACCCTCATGCTCTTGAAGACGACCGGTAAAGGCATCGAAGACGATGAAAGCGATACTGATTCGGTTGCTAGTGGACCTGTGGAAGATATTGATTAATAGTTTTTGCTAATATTTCTATTGTCCAAATGGATCGGATCAATGAGCTCAATACCGACCCGGTATGGCTACTGAGCTCTATAGACATCACAACGTAAACACCTTGATCCGCCTTGAGAAATGAGGTTGAGATCTCAATAGCTCACAGCTGTCCCATTAATTTGGACCGCATAACTGCTTTGTGGCACAAATAAATAGGACAGTGGCAGTCTGTTCCGGCTGACAATACGAACTGCAGTCAGCAATTATAAAATTTAATGGATTTTACTGATTTTACCGATTTAATTTTTATAATGGGATGAAATTCGTTTATCATAGAAACTCTTCGTCAAGACGTGGTAATGAAATATTTCCTTAGGAAAATTGTTACCTGTCTGCGGGATTTAAAAACAGAGAGTATGCCGCTTGTCTTATCCATGACGACTATATTGGTACTCATTTTTGGGGCTACTATACACACGTACAATAGTAATTATTTGGGTGTTCTTGATACTCAGACTTCGTGCCTCTGAGCAGATATGGGTGGAAATCGATAATGTGTCTGTGATTCCTAAAACAGCTCTAACAGGTTGGCCTAAAATACATCTGGCGAACTACGATGCCAAAAGCCAAAGCCATTACATTTACTATACATAAGTAACTTAACTAGTGTGAATTTATTATAGAAATTATAAAAAAAGACATCATCATCATTCATCATTCCCCTGCCCTTTTCCCAACCTGGGGTCATTCCAACATGTTTTCTCCTTCCATACTCTTCTATTATATACCTTTCTTCGCTCATTCCCCTCTTACACATATCGCCTTTCATGCAATCCATCCATATCTTCTTAGGTCTACCTCCTCATCTATAGCCTTCCACATTCATAGTTAACATCCTCTTACTATAAAATCTTCTTATAAAAAAATACATAATATGTATCTATAAAAAACTTTGTGTTAGAGAATACGCTAGAAAAGTTTGTGAGTGCCAGATGAAGTATGATATTTCTAAATGGAAGAAGAGGTTACGCTGCGTCAAATCCACGTAGTTTGAGAAGAGCTAGAAGAAGACGAAGCAACATCTAATGTTGAGTTTTTTTTTATTTTTATTGCCTTTGTAGGCAGACGAGCGTACGGCCCACCTGATGGTAAGTGGTTACCGTCGCCCATGGACTTCAGCAATGCCAGGAGCAGAGCCAAGCGGCTGCCTACTGCTAACATAATAAGAATAGAATTATGCCATTGATAAGCATTTCGAATCTTGTGAATTCCAACGAAGTTGTACCTGGTCGAATTCTACTTACACATACTTATAACGTAACAAGAGAAAATGATTTTGTAAGTACGAATAAATCTAATAAAAATCCGATAATTACCGGTGTAATTGGCTGTTGAAGCGATGGCCCTAGTGAGCACCGCCATCAGCAGCGCGATGCGGTGCATGCCGCCGCATCCTATCCGCCGAGCAGGCTATCTGAGGACAAAAAAGTCAGGTTTCGTTACTAACTGCAGACAAAGCAAAACGAAGCTGTAGGCACAGAGATTTTAAATTTTTAGGAAATAATCTTTGAGCTCACTAGGAATGTAAAAAATAATCGAGTTTTATATTAATCGAGTTTTTTTTTTATAATCGATTTTTAATAATCGATTATAATTATTACTCCCTTTTTTATAGATTTTGTTTAAAGTTAAGCAAAGTTTTCTTTTGTATTAATTGTTTTTGTTTTGTATACATTTCAATAAAAATGTTAAATAGTACTAAAAATTAGTAGCAATAGCTAAGCAAAGCGACTTTTTTAATATATAAAAAAAAACGATTATCTTTTTGATATTTGATTTTTTTATAAATCGATTTATTTTGAAACGAGAGAAACATCGATTGTTTAGTAATCGATTGCCCCCTCCAAGTCACATCCCTAGAGCTGACTACATCGAGTATAGTCTGAACAAATACATATTATGAATATTTGGTCGATTCATTCATTCGAAGGAGGTTTTGAAATTCATCCAATGAAAGTCTAGCTCGAAGTACCGTTTTCCAGTTCAAGAAAATCTACAAATAGAAATCGAACTTAGGATGTCGGTGGAAAAACATTTTATGTTGACCGAAATAATCGTTCGGGTGGATTAATTTCCGCCATTATGTTTAATATGTACATATTATATCTAAGAAGCTATAATGATGACGTCTTATGAACGTTGCTTAGGATCTTTTTTTTAGTTGAATTATTTGTTTTAACGAGAAATGTGTTTACTGATGCCAACAGCTTGTGATCAAAATCCATTCCCAATTCTCCTATTTACATACATCAAATCCTACTATCTATTTATTCGACCGAATTCGATTTTTTTTTCCTACCTAAGCTGATAGCCTTGAGAGGCTATATCAGCGGAACCTTAAGTAGTAGGTGAGCTCACGGGGCTCAAACCTGACAACGTTGCTAACACGAACCTTAGCAAGAGCCGTGCTTCGCAGAATCTACCACCGGATGGGAAACGCGGCCCACTGAGAAGATCCGACGAGAAACTCAGTGGGCGAATTCGATAGTAAGATCGAAGCCTCAATTGGTTTAATAATATGCTCTCAAGATAGAATTTAGTTTTCTTGCGGTAATTGCTTCACTACAGAAATGAGGAGAAAAGTGGTACTCATATATTTATTTATTTAGTTGCACCAACAAACTGATCATCAAGAAAAACATTGACAAATTGACATTAAGCACAATACGACAGATGTCACCTCAATTATAGGTACAATCGACAGTGCAATATTTGAAAACATCTTGAAATTAGAAAAGTAAGATTATTTGAACGAAAATACAATGAATAACTTTAAGAAATATGAAATCCAGAGTAATACTTTTTTTTTACCTTCACGAAGGCAGCCCAGATGAACTACGATACATGTACTTAAAATTAGAAATTAGAGAGATTAAATATAAGTAAAACATTATTTAATACGGATGAATGTAAGCAATAGTTATCGCTGCAGGAAGCCGGGTTTGTGTTACAGTAATTTCGCCTTCAAATAAGAACTGGGACGGACCCACAAAAAAATTTACATACCGAATACACCCAATTTATACGAATGATGGTTATATTAATATAATGCAGTAAAAATTCTATTGTATACATGTTTTTGTTTTATATGTTGTTGTTGTTTTATATTATGGATATGCTTATATTTATCTTTATATATATATATTTCTTCTGTGCGTGTGTTTGTCACTGAACTCCTCCTAAACGCCTGGACCGATTTTAATGAAATTTTCTGTGTACCTTCAAGTGTATTCGAAAATGGTTTAGATTTACAAATCAGCCCGGCTGATGGCGCTGCAGTCGCTATCTAGGTTATTTATCTTTCCTAGAAAATTTATATTGCAAAACAACGTTTTCCGGGCCAGCTAGTATGATTTTTTTTTATAAATATTGTAATTAGATAACTATTTTTATTGTAGATTACGTCGTACTCTCCAATTTCCAAAATTATCTCCACCTAAAGGTTGACTTTAAGTTAAGCTTTATGTTAAGTTTTTCACATTTACTTTTTCTATACATTAGTCATTATTCCGGTGTACCTAAGTTCATTAAGATGTTTTGTATTTGTATTTGCACAGCAATAAAACAAACAATTCTATTGTCTAGAATACAAAGTCTAGAATACAAAGTGAATACCACCCATCTTGATATCTAAGGTTAAGTTTCAACAGAAATTCATCATACACATTACAAATATGTTACGTCTGCTACTAATAAACGGAGTCAACACAAAAGATACGTAGTTCGTACAACTTTAGAATAACAATACTTCACGCCACCTTCAAACCGTTAACAAGATTCTTGTTCGAAACTCTTGAACATCAGAAACATCAATTACAACAACCTTGATTAGCCAATACCAGTAAACAAGTTTACAAGTCCCAAGATACACAATATCTCATTTACAAGATCATGTAGTATCCACATAATTACGTAAAACTTTAATTAAACATTTGCTAGGGCGCGATCAGACAATGTTCCCTGGAGGCTAAGTAGGAAAGTTTATCCGATATACATACATAGCTAGCTATCTGTCGATATCGCTGTGTGCTCCAATGGCGGATGCACGCGAAGTTAATTAGAACTGGCTGCTATTTTCCAACTTAAATTGGCATTTTGTACCTACAATACATTTTATTACGTTTACAATCAAAAATGTATATTTACATTTTGTGCAAATCAACACTATTCTTGTTGTACACATTTGGTGTTATAAGTTTTGTGGCTATTGGTTATTAAATATATTTGTTTGTTAGCTATCTAATACTTAAATATTAAACCAAAGATCTCCATTTAAATCCGTATGAAGTTAGGTCGTTCAATGTAGAAGTTAAATGACGAAAATGTAAAAATATGACCAGTAATTAGTTTTCCTCAGATTTGTTTTCCATATATTTGGTACAGGATATATAATATTATTTAGAGATACAAATAGCCCAAGAGCCCGTGGGCTCTACCTGTATGTATTTGACCAGACCTGAATTTTCGTACAATGAGACCCCTATACCTACCATGCATGAGGTGGGGACTCACTAAGCTCAAAGTGGTCGACGCGCCGAGCGCTCAGGTAGGACAGGTACCGATTTTGACGGATTTTAAATGCATTTGACCACGTCTGCCGTTTTGAAATTTTGAAAATATATGATTATTATTATCGGAAAATAAGAATGGCAGACCATTATCGCGCATTTTACTTTGTGGCAGACCACTTTGAAAATGCTAAAAAAATAAAATTTTGAAAGTAATTGACCAGATCTGCCATTGATATAAAAATGTGACGCGTAACCGAAAAATGTGACGGTAAATTTTTTTCCAACGCCGATAAGGAAGTTTCACTTCAATAATATGTTGTTTATTATAGTCTTAAAAACTTATATTGATCCCGGCAGACCTCTACATTGCGTACACATATCAACATATAATAAAATCTTAGCTACTACCCGGCCAGATGTATATTATGTTTTCCGTTCACTGTTTTAGAGGAATATCATTTACTTGCGATTTACTTTAGCAATGTATTTACCGAAATTAATATTTTTTTATATTCTATATACTAAACTTCATTAGTTAGACAATAAAGAAGTCAATTTTTTATGGAATAATTATAAATATTACGGTATAATGCTGATCAAAAAATAATTCAATTCCTCATTTTTATTTCGTCAAGACAAAATTTAAAAGTGTTAAATCAGTTAAAAAAATATATCATGCATGCATTACATATATATATATATATCAATCTTCATTCATCATCATCATCATCGGAGTCGTCTTTATCGTTAGGCGACTCGTCTTCATCGTCCATTGAAATCCCATTGGTGATTAAGTCACTCACAAAATATGGAAGTTGGTCACCTTCGAACCCTTTGAAGGCATATATGTTGTCCTGCGCAATCCAACCATACTCCAATGGGTCTAAAGTTGTGGGTTGCTTTTTGTAAGCAGCTCTCCAAATAGAAGAAATATAGTGGGCCCTCAAAAGTTGTTGATAAAGCTCACTCTTACGCGGTGGTATTGAGCTTGCCTCAAAATTTTGATTTTTTTTCTATAATTTTCATTGATGTCTGAATCTTTATAGTTGCTAACGAATAGCTGGAACCTTCCATCATCTACATCACTAGATTTTTTGGCATTGTATAGCTGACAAGTTAAATGTTGAATGATAAAAATGAGGAATTGAATTATTTTTTGATCAGCATTATACCGTAATATTTATAATTATTCCATAAAAAATTCACTTCTTTATTGTCTAACTAATGAAGTTTAGTATATAGAATATAAAAAAATATTAATTTCGGTAAATACATTGCTAAAGTAAATCGCAAGTAAATGATATTCCTCTAAAACAGTGAACGGAAAACATAATATACATCTGGCCGGGTAGTAGCTAAGATTTTATTATATGTTGATGTGTGTACGCAATGTAGAGGTCTGCCGTGATCAATATAAGTTTTTAAGACTATAATAAACAACATATTATTATATCAATGGCAGATCTGAAATAATAATCTGATCTAACTTTCAAAATTTTATTTTTTTAGCATTTTCAAAGTGGTCTGCCACAAAGTAAAATGCGCGATAATGGTCTGCCATTCTTATTTTCCGATAATAATAATCATATATTTTCAAAATTTCAAAACGGCAGACGTGGTCAAATGCATTTAAAATCCGTCAAAATCGGTACCTGTCCTACCTGAGCGCTCGGCGCGTCGACCACTTTGAGCTTAGTGAGTCCCCACATCATGCATGGTAGGTATAGGGGTCTCAATGTACGAAAATTCAGGTCTGGTCAAATACATACAGGTAGAGCCCACGGGCTCTTGGGCTAAAAGCAAGTTTTAGCTGAGAGAAAATATCTGTTGAACTTTAATTGTAATTTTCACGCAATAATAAACAATATAAATAGAACAAAACATAACAAGCAAACATAATCAG